TGTAGTATAATTCAACTTTGATTATGTGAAATAATCTAAGTCAAATTATAAAGTCTGGAAACGACTATCTCCTGGATCCTCCTCTATGTGTTGTAGTATAATTCGACTTTGACTATGTAAAATAATCTAAGTCAAATTATCAAGTCTGGAAACGACTATCTCCTGGATCCTCCTCAATGTGTTGTAGTATAATTCGACTTTGACTATGTAAAATAATCTAAGTCAAATTATCAAGTCTGGAAACGACTATCTCCTGGATCCTCCTCAATGTGTTGTAGTATAATTCAACTTTGACTATGTAAAATAATCTAAGTCAAATTATCAAGTCTGGAAACGACTATCTCCTGGATCCTCCTCTATGTGTTGTAGTATAATTCAACTTTGATTATGTGAAATAATCTAAGTCAAACTATTGCTCTGTAAACGGCTATCTCCTGGATCCTCCTCAATGTGTTGTAGTATAATTCGACTTTGACTATGTAAAATAATCCAAGTCAAATTATCAAGTCTGTAAACGGCTATCTCCTGGATCCTCCTCAATGTGCTGTAGTATAATTCGACTTTGACTATGTAAAATAATCTAAGTCAAACTATCGACTCTGTAATGGCTATCTCCTGGATCCTCCTCACTGTGTTGTAGGATAATCACTAAATCACTAAAGTCAAACTATCACAATTGACAGTTTAAGAACGTCTTATATGGCATCAACTGCTAAGTACACAAACTTCCTTCACAATTAAGTAATCAGTCTACCTACAAATATAGCATGCGAACAACAGCATAGGCAAAAATATTACAAGTCAAAATATGTGCCCTTGAAAATAACTAAGTTCAGTTAATGTTGAGTTATACTGATATTGAAATATTCTAAGTTCAATATTTATTCTCCAAAAAAAAACAAAGTCCAAAATAATGTTTCTCCAAATATTGACTAAGTTCAATAATTTCTATCTCAAAAATACGCAAAGTCCAATTTCATGTGTTCATGAAATTGAACTGACAGAGCTCAGAAATATAGGCTTGATGCCGCCTCCAAACACGGTACTGAATATTCCCTCTTGAGGTATCCTCTACACAAATACACGGGTAGATGGCCAAGTTATCATCTACAGAATCACGGTGTAGCAGTCTTCCCTCTCAGGTATCCTTCATCACAAGTAGATGTCCAAGTTATCATCCACTGAACTAAAGTGCAGCTATGTATCTCCTATCTGCCTCGAGAAATATTCAAAGTCCCAACAACTTTCTACTGAAAGTTGTCAAAGTCCAAAAATATTTCCTTGAAAAACGACTAAGTCCAACTTCACATAAAAATATGAAATTGAACGGAGCTCTGTCCCGAACGAAAGCTAGCTGTGATCTGCCGAGTTTACATCGGCGAAATACTTATATAGGCCTGGTGACGTCATCACTTTTCGAACAAGATTTCAAAGTTGAATAACAAGTTATTGACGCCATATCCCGCTTTAATATTACGCATACAACAAGATTTTAATATTGACTCAAGAAATATAACAGTAATTGATCGCTACTTACTCTAGTTTTACTTCGGTTTGATAGAATCAAAAGCAGGAAGTAAAATAATAAAGCTGCCATGTTAGACTACCCATCAACTACAAATTAGACTGCCAGATAAGACTGCCCGATCAACATAAACAAAATCTTAATTGGATAACAGGAAAACGCTATTTCACCACTGTAACTACAACTAAAGTACTGCAAACGATACTACTATTTAAGATCATAATGATCTCAAGTGTAATAAATGTACAATAACGAGTACACAGCACTAAATCAAAAATCAAAAATTCAAAATTTTGTTACACTATGTTCATTTTTTCTTTTGAGGACCACTGGCGATATTCACCACGTTTGTACATTTTTGTGAGATCATCCTTTACATTTTACACCTCAATCGATCCTGCTACTTTTCCCTGAGTATAAATGAGTGACTGACCAGTTCTGAGCCAATTTATGAGAGACATTTTTTCATATTTTTGGAAAAAATAAACCGGAAGTGACCTAAATACACTGGACGAAATACCCTAGATGATTCCCGGGGATTTATTCTAAATTTTGGCGGAGATTTATATTGGCGAATTTTTCAATTTCGCCAAATTCGCCAAATTAAAGCGGGCGCCAAATTAACCCAATCTACAGTAAACAAGACAATTGGACAAATAGAGTATCTTATGCATTTCTAGGGGTTAGGTATAGTAGAGTGATAAAGGGACCTACTATTTTCTTTTATAACCTTATTTGTCAGGGAGGAAAGAAATTCCCGAGGAACAGAAATCTTATTCCTCATAAAATCCCGGGGAGGCTTCATACATAAAGAAAACCCCGTGGACAACGTAACAGAAGTCATTCGACATGAAGTATAGTCATATTTAAAGTATTGTTCTGACCATTACCTGTCATAAGAAAGAATCTTTGAAGAGGGAGACATATATTTAGATATTCCAAATGGATGCCAGTTATGATGCATACGGATGTAAAGATAAAGTATGAAATAAAGCATTACTTTTATAATAAGGCATCTTTAGATTATGAACAATATTGGTTCCTATGGCAACGAACTGTTGGACTTGCCCCAATGTTCTGTTGTGTAAATGTAAAGGAGAATTCGATGGGATGCTGTACGAGATTTACAAATATCCTATAGCCAATCTCCCTAAATCGTTGCCATGGTAAATGAGTGGACAGTAACAAGCTCAAGTATAAGATGCAAACGGAAAGAACACGAATACAAGCTACGATTATTTATATCAAGGCAATAACATACAAAATGTCACAACCTTCCATTTGTTACAGACGCTGACCGCCTAACACCGTCCACAAAAAGTTGCAGACAATTATGATATGTCATCGCTTCTGGTGTTGACATGATATTTTTCTTTGGTGGAGACAAAATATTGGATTCATATTTCTCTTCTACAAATAATTTCTACACAACCAGTATTCCATTTGTATAAGAACATTTTATTAGACAAAATAAAAAGTTTTCACATGTTTTGTTGTTTGGAGATCAATACATTCATCATTTGGATCAATCAATTTAATTCTAACACCCCCTACACTGTAATACTGATCTCATCACACAATTTTCAATAATCACAAAATACATTTGGTTCATCTGAACGAATATAAAACTGGGGTGCTTACAGGTGTACAATTAAAGATTCATACCCCTTGAGGGGTAGTTACTGGGGTAGAATCAGGGGTTAAATCAATGCTTCAAGCCCCTTTATGAGGTGATACTAGTTTGACCACCAGAGACCTACTCAGAAAAATTGCAATTCTTTCAAATGATTTTTGAAATAAACCCCAAATGGCTGGAGTATATGTTAGATAAAAATTGCAAATAAAATATGAGTACCTCTTTAAGTCATCATATAAAGTGTTTATAAAGTACACATGCATATTGAGAATTTTTATGTTATTTTCATGATAATGACCATATTTACATAATATAATAGCATAAAAACAAAAATATTTAGCTTAAATGTTGAAATTTCCACAATTTTAGCAGGTGTTGGGCCGGGAACTACCTTAATCCCTTAAATCGAGTGGAGTTTTAACACTCTGCACAACAGCAAAGACCTTTTTAATAATAAACATTTCCTCACTGAGCTAAACATAAAACATTTGTACATCTGAAAAAAATGACCTTCAAACTTTTAGGATTGATAAAATATGATACAAGGGATGTCAAAAATGTTTTGAAACTAGGAACTTTCGGAAAACCCTCATAATACCCCAATCAAATAATATTAAGAACTATTTTGCGCTTGAGATACATTTCAAAAATATACAATTGAGAAATTCACACATTTCAGGTTTACATATAATGAACATTTTTACATTACATACAGACTACAACTGGCCATTAAAGTTCCAACCAGAGATTGAAACAAACATTTTTAGTCTCAACATGTTTTCACCTATATTATCCCACACCGAGTTTGCCAAATCTTTTGAGTCATGTGAAATAGGTACCATAATTGGTGAATTAAAATTAACACGCAGCTTACAATTAAAACCATTTATATGAACTATAGATGAACCCCAAACATTGAATTCTCACATCCCCCAATATGCTGCACTATTATAAAGTATCCCCACTGCTCCAAATGAGTTACATATACAGATCTACACCCACCATCCATCCAGAGCTGCAACTCAATAATATGTAACTTCTGCGTAGATAACTAAGTTTCATATGTGAAAATACATAAAATAGCTCGGGCCAAATATCAACATTTTAAGTATGAAACAATAGTTACCTGTTACAAGTAAATCAACAGCAAAAAATACATTCAGATTTACAGGGGGTATCACACAATCCATAATATACGTGATCCATAATATACGTGATCCATAATATACAAGATCCAAAATATGCGTGATCCATAATATATGTGATCCACAATATACCTGATCCATTATATTAACATGAACAGAGAAACATAGTACAAATATTACAGACTAGATATTAGAATATGTGTGACAACTCAATTCTTAAACATTACCTCAAAAACATTGATCTAAACAAAAGGTCAAGTTTATAAGCGACAATTTCCCATAAACATGAATTCCTCACTAGGCTATATAATATTAAATTTTCCCCCACCCAATTTTTTACTAAAATTGCAGATACAAAATCGTCAATGGAGAAAACATGATAGGGCATTGAAAGATGTGTCACTTCCCCCTCTTTCCTTAACATGACTCCCTTCTCTTGCCTTTCAAACTAATATAATGTATTTGGTTTAGCTCCAAATCGATTGCCATATTTTGGTTTGAGATTATTGAGAAAAGTAGCTTTTTGTGAATATCCAGGCATTGAATATGGATTTTGTTCTTTACATGTGTTTTTTCTCATTAATACACTGTCATGAGATATTCTCATCAGAGATGAAGTTTATAAGTCCTACATTGTGTCTGCATGATGGAAAGTACCATTGTATGATGGAAAATTCCAGCTTAATAACATCACTTAAATTGCTGACACAACGCTGGCTTGAATGGCACCTGCAAATAAACAAATAAAAATCAAAGTTAAAAAATGTGGACAAAGGAAAAGGAACAAATGAAAGGCAATTAAATATCATTACAAAATTGTTGCGTAAGTGAAGTAATGTATTACAAATGTCAAGCAATTCATTACAGATGTCAAGAAATATATTACAGATGTCAAGTGCAGAAAAGGATCGATTTATGAAAAATTTTCAAAAAATTTTCAATTTAGAAATCATGAATCTATTCTGGTTTCTTTGGTTCACCAAAAATGGTTGGGTTCCCATGGGCATTCCCAGCAGGATGGTGTTTGTTGGGTGCGACCAACACCCCCCCCCCACACACACACCCCTTATTGACCAAAATCCCTGGGAATCAAGTTAATGGTGCTAAGGAGAATGAGATTCGGAGGATAGAAGAGCTATGAGCTCTGAAGAATGAGGTAGAGTAACTAGGCATCAAGTGTAAGCAATTATGACAGAGACTTTTTGATAAGATGTAAATGCAACCCCTAGGAAAAATCCTACAAACACCCCTCAGGATTTTGGGTTTGCATCACTGCAAGCAAAGCACGTCTCAAAAACCCCTAAAATTTTTTAACAACATTGTATATGGTGCATTCCAAACTTTATTTTGTTAGTGATTTATCAACAAATTTTACAACATTGCTTTTGTTCTTTTTTTGCAACCCCTCTGGCTAAGCACATGCCCCTTGTCCATAGATCACTGACAAAGTCTAATAAAACTAATAAACCATACTTTTAATATCCTGACTTTAAATATGTGAACATATCATGCTTTAAAATCATGATTAAAAGCCTGCCTCGTGCTTAAAAAACAAAAAATACTCTTACCAAGCAATGACTTAATAGTCGTCTCGACTCCTATAGCTGCTGCGATTGTCATCACGGCTGCCGTATGAATCACGTTGGCCACCTTAAATGTACATCACCAAATTAACAAATGCTTCGCTATTGGACATAAGAAAGACCATGGGCTACATACTAATTACAAAAATAAATTATATCTTCATTCAAGAATATGTCTTTTTACCAAATGGCAGATTATTACATTCAACACAGAATTATAATTCTGTGGGAATAGAATTTTATATACATAATAATTATTCTATAATTATCTTTAGGTGTAAAGTTCTCTTGTCAAGGGGAATTTTCTGTACAGTAAAATTTCATCAATTTGTCCAGAGCTATAAGAGCCAGGGGTCCATTTCTGAAATGTTCATAACTTTGTCTTTTTAAAAAGGCAATGACTTGTATAATCATTATATAAGTTTCAACAGTTTCAAAACAGACCCCCAAACTACTCAATTTTGATTGGAGTTTCTTCAGATATAATTTCAAAATGTTTGTTATTTCTTTTTGTATGTGTAGCCCTGATCTTTTATCTGACGGAGATACACTCTTCTAAAGAATAAACGATACAACTATTTCAACCAAAGATGATTTTAAAAATCATTAGTAACAATTGCTCAGATTAAAGGCAAGAGTATTAAGTGATTTAGTAAGACAAATCGAGTCTCAAGTCAGGGGAATGAAGTGTAGCTGAACTTGGTAGATTTCAAATTGGAAAGTAAAACTTTTGGAAGAGTGTATAAGCCCAATGTTAAATTTTATGGAAATTTACAAATATTTTGTGGTTCTTTCGTCGTCTCTTGTTGTTCTACAAGTAAATGTGATGCAATACCCCTATATATAAATCACACCTGGTCATGTATTCAAAAAACTACTGTGAAAATGAAGAAAAAAAATTCCGCTGCATGATGGAAAATTCCGCAGCAGGTCTAGCTTCTTTTGACCAACAATAAAGACACATAGAGTTGAACGATATTGTCAATTCAATATGTAGAGGGGGAGACTAATAATCTTTATAGCCCTCCACAATTTACTATGCAAGTGAAAAATTAAGCTGTTAAAAAAATTCAAAATGTATAGGTGAATAAAAATTGTCCTTTAAAATGCTAAAAATTTGAACACATGACCAGTTGAAGGTTTTTTCTATTGGGGTTTATCAGTGGAAGACAGATTTTATACATATATCAACACAGAGAATAATGCTGCATATATAATAACATTACATTACCTAATATATATACAATATATATATTTAGATACAATACTAAAACTTACCCCTATGTAAGTATTTGAAAGTAAGTAAGTAAGTGAGTATAGATATTTAGACTAGTGACTGCTCACAAAATGAAGGGGACATCACGTCTTGAATTTATGGAAAATTCTGCTTCATGATGGAAAATTCCGCTGCATGATGGAAAATTCCGCTGTGGGGTCACCCTAAATAACATCACCATAGGTTATTAAAACAGTTGGAAATGAACACATTACAGAGGCAATGCTAGTTGTGTAGGCAGTTCCTCAGGAACAAACCATAGAAACTGCCAGCCTTAAGGCCTTGAAGCTTGTTCCTTGACTTCTCCTGGTAAATCACTTTGAGGAGCTAATTGTCATAAATAAATAAAACAAGTCACACGGTTAATCAGTTTAGCCACTGATATCTCATATTTCATGAAAACTATTTATTCAAAATTATTCAAAAGAAACAACCATGTTTATTCAGTAAATGAAGAGGGATTCAAGAATTGTTTGTTTTTCTAATTCTAATTTTAATAGAGTTCACTACAATAAATGCAACTCCATAAAGTACAAACTGGGGACTATATTCAGCATTGATATTATCATAATGACGACTGGTTACTATTTATGTCAAAATAGTTACTATAGTTACCATAGCCACCGCCGCCGCCGCCTCTACCGCCACCCCCATAGCTACGGTTTCCACCACCGCCATATCCACGGTTACCACCACCACCGTAGCCTCTATCTCCGCCGCCATAGCTCCTATTTCCGCCGCCATAACCACCGCTGAAACAAATCACACTAACTTTGTCAAAATTTTAGGAACAAAATTTCTTTTGGTTTGATTCAAAATTACTGTACATCAGAAAAGGAACAAGATAACAGCTAGATAACAACACAAAAGTGTAGCAAATCCCAGCAACAGCCATTTATGGCTGCACTGTTCTCCAAAGGATTTTTTCTCAAATGGGTGCAAATTCTGTTTTTTACAATTCAGACGAAAGTTGGTCAAAATGTGCAAATTCTTCATGATTTTTCCCATATTCAAGTGGGTGCAAGTCTGTTTTTAAAATCTCAGATGGGTGGCGCGCCCACTTGCTTAAATGATGATGTGATCACTGGGCTGCTTATGAGCCAAATTGTCATTAAAATTAATTTGCTTTAAAAATTCACATATGAAATATATAAATAATCGCTTCAGTACTTTTCCAGTTAAAGCAAAATCGTATATAACACATATAAAAATGCCTCCATTTACATACATTACAATGGCTACCTGTTAGCCAAACTGTTATTAGACAGTGCAATATTCATGTCTTACCCCCCATAGCCACCTCCGCCCCCGCGCCTGTCGCCTCCTTCTCTCTTTGGCTTAGCTTTAGCACAATGAACTGTTCTGCCATCCAAGTCCTATAATAAGAAATGTACATACTATTGAATAATTTCTTTGGCATCCAAGTCCTATAATAAGAAGTTTACATACTATCGAATAATTTCTTTGGCATCCAAGTCCTATCATAAGAAATGTACATACTATCGAATAATTTCTTTGGCATCCAAGTCCTATTATTAGAAAATGTACGTACTATCAAATAATTTCTTTGGCATCCAAGTCCTATAATAAGAAATGTACGTACTATCAAATAATTTCTTTGGCATCCAAGTCCTATAATAAGAAATGTACGTACTATCAAATAATTTCTTTGGTATCCAAGTCCTATTATAAGAAATGTACGTACTATCTAATAATTTCTTTGGCATCCAAGTCCTATAATAAGAAATGTACATACTATCGAAATAATTTCTGTGGCATCCAAGTCCTATAATAAGGAGTTTCCATACTGGGGCCAATTGGAAATTTGTACACTTAATTCTAATGTTATTTATTTTGCTACTACAGGCTCCTCATAGACAAACCAAGCTTGTTTTGTATATTTTGATTTTGAAATTGATGTTTCTGAAAAAAAATTGCACTGAAATGAAAAACAATATGGCTGGTGATTTTGGGGAAATTTGAAGGTTTTTTAACCAGAAGTAATTACCATCTAATTCTTACTGACAGCCATATTGTAATCACAAAATAAGAATAAGAAAAAACAGTAACTCCACAGAGTAGCAAATCCAACTACACAAAACATATTTTGATATTTAGTGGCAATCTTGGAAAAAAATTCATGAAAAGAGCATATCAGCAATCAAATCCATCCACTGTTTTTTAAGTTATAAAAGATTATATTTTTCCTGAAAAATGGTTGACATTTTAGAAATTCACCAACTGGTATTTAGTTATCTAAAGATTATATTTTTTCAAAAAATGGTGGTCCATTTTGAAATTCAGCTACCAGTTTTAAATTTTTTCTCGAGCAGAGCTCCTTTGTCCAAAGCTACAGAGAGAACATTTTTCAAAAGTTTTCAATTCATTGATATAAATTCCATGAAAATGGTTATCATAAACATACCCTGTTATCCATGCCGGCAATAGCATCCTCAGCATCCCGTATCTCTTCATAAGTCACAAAACCAAATCCTTTGGACTCTTGGGTTGCTCTGTCCATGACTACCCTAACTGTAAAAAAAAAAGTTCGTCATTTCTCGAAAATAAATTCATTACTGGCATGCATCATCCATATGTCACCATAAAGTTCTACACTCCTGTTTTCAATTGTTAAAGAAAATGGTTCTCAGTAGGCGGACTTTTAGACACAATGGGTCACATACACAGCCAATATAATTCGGCACTGTTCTGGCACCGTTTCGACACCAAAATTTGCTACCAGACTAGTCAGTCCATTTGGTGTCGAAACGGCACCGAAATGACGTCGAAAATCAGATTGCATTTTGGGGGTGTATGCTGTATATCTGGGAGTAATGGGACTTTATCTAAAAATAAAATGATAAGCAGTTACCTTCTTTGATTGGACCATATTTTTCAAATGAATCTTTTAGATCCCTTTCTGTGATTGATCTTGATAAACCAGCAACGAAAACTTTAGCACTAATATCTTCACTTCCTCCACCGTTGTAGGACATTTTGACTGGAAATATAAAGACAATTACATGTTGAAATATTCCTCTCCATTGTAAGACATTTGGACTGCATGTAAAAAAAATATTTCTTGGGAGCCGTTATTGAGTTTAACTTCCTTGCTATGTTCTGTACTCTGACTAATATTTGGCGCTATCATATTTTGTGCTATCTTAATCTGCGATTATTATATTTCGCTAATTTCAAGCATCTTTGAAATTTCACGGCTATTAATTTCCGCAGATTTGTGACTTTGTCCTGCTTCTCTTTTTAGTTGGCAATTCCTCAACAATGTATCAGAACAACATTTTCATTTCAATTTCAGCCATGCTCTTCCCTTCACCCGGAGATTTTGGCTTCATCTTGAGCCATTTTGTAAATGTTCATTTTGATGATGAATTTTCAAAATGTAAGAATACAGTAACCTCCCTAAAACCGTATCTTTTAATGCCAAGCACAGAATGATGAAAATATGGTCAATATTGAGCAAAATTAATTCTGAACCAAGAAATTTGAATATTATCAGCCATGATTGGTCAAAGTAGCTTCAGGATGAGGTTGTCAAACAGTGGTGATTGGTCGTATATTTGGCATATTTTCTTGAATTTTAAAATCAAATGTCTCAAACTGATGATTTGGATTCAAATGACTGGCTTTAACCTAAGTGCGCATGACAACGATGTGTGCCATGTTTTTTTCTAGTGATTTTGTTTCATTCCATGGAGTTTGTGTTTCAGTGTAACATCCACAAAAATGGCGGACCGATGACAGAATCAACAGGTAAACATCTGTTAAGGTTGAACTTTGTCTCACTATAGCGAAAAACAAAATTGCCGTTTCTACTGAAGGATTTTTTTCAAAATATTGCTCTTAGAAAAGACTAAATAAAAGCTGATGTAAAGAGACATATGAACTAAGACTACATATTAGTTCAATGAAGGTATGTTTATTACATTCTAGTTAATTTAAAGCAACAGTCTATGAGAGATAGCGAAAAAAGCAATAAAACAAACAGGGCTTCATGACCAGCGTAAGGCAACACAGTGGCCGAAGAATAAGGTAAGTTCATAATAACCTTTATATTTAAATCAATACATAATTTATTTGTGGTTACCTTATTTTGTTCCTTCAACAGTCTGTTTAGGTAGTAAATCAATGTTCTATTAAACTATAAAAAATTTTAATTTTGATTGCAGCCATTTTTAGGTCTCGCAGGATCTTGAGATAGTAAGAAAGTAAGTCCGAAAGTAAAGATTTGCTACAAAATAACTCGCATTAGCTAAATATGATTGGTTACATGATCTCTCAATGGCAATGCCCATGCGCGCTTAAAGTACAGTGCACAAAAAATAGAAATGAAAGTAAGTCCGAAAGTAAAGATTTGCTACAAAATAACTCGCATTAGCTAAATATGATTGGTTACATGATCTCTCAATGGCAATGCCCATGCGCACTTAAAGTACAGTGCACAAAAAAATAGAAATGAAAGTAAGTCTGAAAGTAAAGATTTGCTACAAAATAACTCGCGTCAGCTAAATAAGAATGGTCACATGATCTCTCAATGGCAATGCCCATGAGCACATAAGTACAGTGCACAAAAAATTAGAAATGAAAGTCCGAAAGTAAAGATTTGCAACAAAATAACTCGCGTTAGCTAAATATGAATGGTTACATGATCTCTCAAAGGCAATGCCTATGCGCATGTTTAGTACAATGCACAAAAAATTAAAAATGATGCGCACCAAAATCAAAATTTCTCCACTTTAATTACAAATTACATGTAACAAGTAGGACTTATGGTCACCACACGTCATGAAAAAGGCAAGTTATATTCAATTATCTTCTTTAATACCATTTCTTATCCCAGCATGCAGGCTGGAAATTGGAAAAAAAACTACTACCTAAAACAGTCTATTTCAACATTCCCTCAGCTGGCTTTTGAGCCAGCTGTGTTCAGTAAGATATAACCAACCAACCAATCACTTTGCATGGCTGAAGTTTAAATTTCCTAAATCACAAGACAAGATGCCAAAATTTTGAGTGGTCATCCTAGGCAAAGGGAGTTGGCATTTGTGTGCTTGATTGACATGGGCCACTATGTATAAGAAATATGATTGACTTACTTGTTTGTAAAAATTATGCCAACTTTTTAATATTTGCAACAAATGCTTCAGAACTAGCTTTGCACTGTAACAGGGATATCGAGTATCCTTTTCATAACAATAAATTTTTAAATTATGATTTATTTAGCTATAAGGAGTGATTGTTGATACTTATAGGATATCCTATGATTTCGTGGAATATCATTTTTTTTCTACGAGGTGATATTGATATCAATATCACGAGTAGATTAAAATTATATTCTGAAAAAATCATAGGATGTTCTTATTATCCTACACTTACAAGGAGTGTACTAAATGTGTAATATCATTGCAAAATGAATTTCATGCCAAATAGAGCCAATTTGGCGGGAAATCAACAAGCGGAGTATATCGTCACAATATCCTCCGCATATTGGGTTTTCCGGAGTATATCGTCATGATATCCTCCTCCCGGAGTATTCATTTTGCCAATAAATATCAAATTTATTTTTTAATGTTATTTTAGTACACTAAGTGTTAGGATAAAGTTGATTCTCTTCCGTTCGTAGTTTTCATATCAAATATCGATGATAGAATTGATAAAAATTTTAAAGTTTATTCTGATTTTATTGCATATATCCATGTACATGTATTTAAATATATATAATCCAGAGGTCGCCTTTAATACAACTTCCTGTGAGTTTGTGAAAAATATTTGCACCAAAAAGATTTGCACCAACCTGAGAAAAATTCCTAAAGAGGGAGATCACTGCAACGGTTTGCATAATAATGAATCTATTTTCCATATGATACTGCACTATAGTCGTTCGATTGCTTTTCTAGTTATTGACGAACAATCCAATGTGAAATGTAGAAGCATTTAACTTGTAGGCTTAGGCCTTTGTGATTTTGAATTTTTTCATTCTCGCCGTTTCAGTGAAATTTGCAATGGATTATCTCGTATGTTCTACACAACAAAAGCATATAAGTCATCGAAATAATTAAACTTGCCCATCGAATGGTACAAACTGAAAGGTGAAAATGTTTACTTACCTGTATTTGTTGAGATATTTGTTAAAATGCAGAATCTACGAAGAAGAATGACCACTCGGTAGTAAAACAAGATGGCTGACACGACTCACGTGGTGGCGCTGTTGCGGGTATAAAGTATGGCTTGCCAATTCAACAGTACAATCTCGTCTGAAGGGCAACTTGTAGTTTCTGAATAGCTAAATAAAGCTGAAATAATAGATTTCACCCTTGCCATTCTTCGTGTTGCTTGGATCAGACTGCCATAACCAACCATGTTATTTAATTTGGGAAATTACTGAAGTGAAAAAGAAATTATTCGCATAGAAAACAGCATTTGAAGTTCAGAGATCGATAAAAGTTAATTACCACTGATTTTCATAAAGTGTATGTTATAAATAACTCTTGGATTAAAAGATGGCGTATTGTTGAAAATTCTATCAGAAATTAATGGATAATGTCAGATGTCATGCAAAAAACTTCGCCATCTTTCATTGGCATTGCTAAAAACTTGACATATTAATAGCTGGAAAATCTATTTTGATAATCTAGTGTCAACTCTGATGTGGTCTGTTTGAGGTGTTTTCTCGTGTCAAACGATAGGTCAGTACTTATCAATCCATTGGAAATACTATGAAGATCAAATTATATAAAGTAAAACTTCATTTTGCCGATACTTGCATTTAGTTCATTTAATTTAATGATTTTTGAAGAAGTGCTGGTTGAATCTGTCTGAAATACAAATCATGGCACTACTACATGTATGGGAATAGGATGACCCTGCCTTTTAATGTTCCTTTTGTGATTATCCTTGAAATTTTAGGTTGTCCCAACAAATAAACGAAGGTTAGAGAATCATAGCATTGCATTAATGGAGATCTGGCCCCATTAGCTTACGTCATGGAAAACGGATTTTTATGACTCATAAGTAGGTACAAATCAAAGTTATTATTGTAGAAAACTTTCCACTGAATTCAAATATGCTTTTAAAAAGCCTCCGGAAAGAAAAAATAGTCTTTTCAAACTTGAATACCCCGGCAAGTGTTTTAAAAGCGTGCTAAATGAGACAATGCGCAAGTGATATAGCTTGACAACACTCTAAAAAACGACTCTCTACATCAGTTCATATCCAGCAATCATAATGTTAAATCGGACATCAACTTATCTCCTAACTGGTACTATTACTGAGATTTCGTATCAACACTTTAGTCTACTAAATTAATGTTTAAAACTCATATGTGAGCGTTAATGCAGGGTATTACAAATTTCCCTTAAACTTGAATATTCATCAGTTTTAGAGGTTCACTTTTCATCATTTCCCTTATGTACAGGGTGTTCCATATGTTTCAGGAATGATGCTGTGTTTTATTGGTTTTCTTTTCAATCTAACTGAATTTTTGACACAATGTGTCTAAACATGTTTTGAATAAGTTGGGAAAGTTTCATATTGTGAAATTCAGTAGTCTTAATTATATGGTTGCTATAGTAACTTAGGGGTAGGGTAGGTGGAGCAGGTGTAACAATGCGCAAAATATATGAAATATTTGTAAAAATAGTTTTTTTTGTACGAAGTGTTACTAAGTATTAGGTTGTCAGAGTTGGATCAAACAAAAATGAAGGTGGATTCCAAGAAAGTAAAAAAATGTCATCACCCTTGATCACATCATAATTTAGACACCTGTCATGTCATGAGTCACAAAGGAGAATAGACACAGGTCATTTTGGACGAGCGGCCATCTTGAAAAGTGAAAAAGTCATTAGCAAAAGAAAACCTTCGACTTAGGCATTACACAACAAGTGACAAGACATGACATGTGTGGATAACAGTTTCCTGCAGCAGACACAATTAAACTCCTGACGAATGCACATGGGGACTCAATGATGGTAACCTCTAGTGTATGACTGGTACAAGCGGTTCAAATCTGGAAGGGAAACTGAGACCGATTATCCCGGCAAAATGTGGACATCCGGGAACAGTAAGAGCGCTAACTAATGCAGAAGGGATAGATGCTGAAATAATGATGATGGCTAATAAAGGGTGTGATAACATTTTTTGTTTCCAGGAATCCACATTTATTCTTTTTAATTTTCAACAAGTTTGATGCAACTATGACAAATTAATACTTTGAACACTTCATACAAAAACTACTATTTTCACAAAAATGTCATGTTTTGCGCGTTGTTACACCTGCTCCACCTACCCTACCCCTAGGTTACTATAGCTACCATATTATTCAGTCTACTGAGTTTCATGATATGAAACTTTTCTAACTTATTCACAACATATTTGGACACATTTTGTCAAAAAATCAGCTAGATTGAAAAGAAAAACCAATAAAGTACAGCATCATTCCTGAAACATATGGAACACCCTGTATGTGATAGTTATACAAATTAAAATATGTCCAGTAAAAGAAAATATTATCTGCCCAACACAAAAAATATATTTCACTTTTTGTAGTTTTTCAACATAGGGTCTATGGGGAATCTCCCCGACCTAGAAGTCACATTTTCAAAGAAAATTAAATTTTCAAAGTTGATTAACCCTTTTCAAAACCTCATTTTTAGATGTAATTTTATATGTAGATTCCAAATATGACACCAGTTTGACTGAATTGTGAATTTTTAATGACGTAAATCAAGATTATTTCTACTCGCATCTAGAATATTGAATACTAAGCAAGAAGCGCAGAGCGGCCATTTTGAGAAATGACGGACATTTTTCCATGTTCATAATGAATCTTGATTAATCCTAACGTTTTTATATGATTTAGGTTATCTTGCATTCCCTTGCGTCACTTCCGTCCATCTGTTAGCTCTTGTGATGGAAAGGATTTGTAAAGGGAGTGGACGGGGATCAGTAAGGCTTCGAGCAAGACTAAGATTGTTGATATCAAAAAAGGATTTCAAAATAGTATACTACAGGGTGTCCAAAAAAACAGGACCGTAAGAAAGTTGAATAACTCGGTCAATTTTGGATATTTTGCCTTGACATTTAAGAATTATTTAGTTCATTCAATGTGAATTTTGTTCTGAAAGTTTGATGATAAACTGTTTATTGTGTCAAAAACTACAGTCCTTTACAAAACATGCTCAAAGTGGGCACTTCTCCTCTCTATGCACAAATGAATCCTGCGAACAAAGTTGTTAATGACCCTTACCTATACACATTAATGTGGATGGTAAATATTGGGGTAGTTATTGCCCTCTTAAGATTGTTAGGGGCCTGTCAGTATACACATTGGCTTTGAGAAATCCTCAAAGATAAAAATTTGGGGGATTTAGATCAGGCGAATGAGCTGCCCATATGGTTTGCGTTCTGCAACTGATGAGCTGACCACCAAAGCATTGCCTAAACCATTTCGGCATATCATTTGCAGTGTTGGGGTGGTATTGGCTTGTTGAAACCACTGCTTAATTATCTCCTTAGATGTCTCTTCTGGTGCTTAGTGACCTCCAAAACTTGGTGAGAACTTACTGGTCCTTGTTCATGGTGATAGCAAGTCTCCAGTCACCTTCGAACCAAAAGGGACTGATGAATCCATGTTTCCTCATTGTCACCCAGAGAGTGCATTGTTCAGAATGCAATGGATGCTGTAACACTTCATCAGGAGGATTTAAGCCCCAGTAGCAATTGTTCTTGGAACAAACTTGTCCATTCAGAAAGACATGTGTGTAGGAGGATCATCAACAGCTTTGTTCGCCGGATTGAATTGTGCATAGAGATGAGTTATTCAACTTTCTTACGGTCCTGTTTTTTTTGGACACCCTGTACAAAAGATTAAGTTTCTGTTGATCACTCAACACTTTTTATTTGATATTATATCTTAGTACTATAAATAACAAGGCGACCGTAATTTTCCTACGTTCGATTCGCCGCAGAAAATTTAGTTAAATTAATAATAGTTTATTTCTGTGTCACAAGTTAACTGAAATATGACAAGTAAAATACACGTGTAGTCACTGAAGTAACTGATTAAATGATCTGCGGTCGACTTACGGCTGCTGGCGACAAATGTGACTGGGGTGTTAGATGTATTCATAAAAAATTGTAATCAATAAGAGCCGAGTCACTGGGAGCAAGGTGGTTGCAGTTTTCGCACTTTGATAGCTCACACTTCACAGTGATTATGGTCAACTCAATACATCTGATAAACACTACATGAAGTGTTTTCTATGCAATGATCAAAAGCCTCCAAATTGTTTGGAATAGAGCATGCAATGTTTTTCAGTTTCAAGCAGGTTTTAGTACATTCTGACCAATTGTATTTTCAGACTTATTCATTTCATGACTACATGTATGTAATACTGACCCCCGGGTACTGACCTTAAATCTGTTTAGCATGTCTTTAAAGCTCAAATATAAATCCCATAATAAATTTATGCTTACAAAACATTTCCAGACGTTTGACCTATTAATCGTCATACTGATCGAATAAATATTATCGTCTGCGATCCAAATCATCGGTTCTCTTATTTAAACACGAATCCAATAAAAACGTATTACGTAACGTAATAATAGCAACCTTCTAAATATAGAACTTCAAAAGGGCCAGGCTAAAGATTATCGTATATACGATCCAACTCACAGTTGACATCAATTATGTTCCATGTAATCTAACTTGACCACAAAGATAATCTAATTATATTTGCAAAAAGTTAAATCTTTGTTAAACTAAAATCCTAGTTGAGCTTAAAGTTGGTTACCAAAAAGTACTTTTTAAAGTTGTATCATAGGTTAAGACCGTCAAACGTTAACAGATGTTTGGAGGGATTCAAAAGATGGAAAACACTATAATTGATTGATACATTCATTTATCTATTTATTCATTTATTTATTTAGATAAAATCATTAATAACAACAGCACTTAACAGACTTTGGTTTTAGGTAGTTAATTATGCGCTTGTCGATTTAAAGAGACATACGGGTTAACATATCATGTTTAATCATATTTCAAATTAGGCTATTTATAATTTCTAAGTAATAACATTTAAGAATGTCAATTCATTAAATAATGACACAAGTTCTCCTATTTTTACAATTTTTAACCAACGGCTTTCTTGAAAGAAGCTAATAGAAGGCCATGGTATATCATG